CTTCTATTATGAACTTTAAGTAGTCAGACAAGCAGCTTACTTCTGCTCGAAGTAATGCAGCAGGTTGCACTTAGGTACTAGTAAGGTGGCTGGGTGATGCTAGACTTAGATATTAGGGATATTTATGTAGTTACAAATGTAATTTCAAAAAACTTAATAAAGTACTAGCGTGACTGCTTATAGGAAAAAAAAAAAAAAAAAAAAAAAAATTCAATTAAAGAAGATTATTTTAATTCATCAAAAATTAAATAATCTAACAAGTAAGTTTTTCAATATGCAGTAGTTTAGATTATTTTTTTATAAAATTACATTGTTACTAAAATCTGCATTTTTAGCATGTCATGTGATGTCCTATGCATGATAATGCAATTAGGATCTAAAAAAAATTGTAGAGAAAAAAAAAAAAAAAAAACATTTTGCTAGCAAATAATTCAGGCAATCAATAGTTAAAAATACATAAATTTGAAGCATTTAATGGAGTTAACAGAATATGGTTTGTCAAGTTTAAATGAGTGCACAAATAAAAACTACACTTCAGATAAACATAATCTTAAAAAATGCAATAAATTGATAAATAAATCCAATTTAATATCATTTATATTTTGCTATTTTATTTTATGATCGTAGATTGCATTTACAATTGACAGATATTATAGTGCTTACAATTACTTAATAATTAAATGATATTATGATTACTAGTTTGGAGGCTGCTTAAAATATCTTTTAGAAACTTTAATAATTATATTTTGCTAACATGGCAAAGTGAAATTTGTCTAAATTTATTTAAATGCAAGATAAAAAAAAAAAAAAAAAAATAACAATCCTGAAACTTATCTGAATTTAATTAGATAAAATAAAATTTAACTTGAAAATATATACTGTTTAATGACTACAATATTAAATAATGAAACCAAAAATAGTGTTAACACAATATAAATAAAAAATTAATTAAATAAGTTAAATATAAAAACTTAATTTACAGTATATTATAAGGTATAACCAAATTTGAATTGTTATATAAAAACACTGAGATTTTAATAGCTAATAACATAAGTAATAGTAAGTTAAAATGAAAAACCTCTCTATAATATTGTAATTTGGGTTCTAAATAATCAATCTATAAAGTGTTTTTTTTAAGTAAATAATATTTTTATCGATTAGATATAATTTTATTTATATATATTGTCATAAGTCACATGATGTCAGTTCTAGGCTTCTTGCATCATATAAGATTTGAATAATATATTTATTATAAAAGAAGTTTTGAGTTTAATATTTTATAAACTATAATAAGTTTTAGTTTATAATTGTAAACTATATTAAGAAATTTGAAAATTATTAATAATAAATACTATTTTTATTTATTTTATATATATCAAATTATTTTAATATTAATGATAAGGTTATGCTTTTATTTTTATTTTAATTTATCTTTTATATATTTAAAATAAATTAAATTCTATATATTTTTTTTGCATCATATAATTAATTAATTAATTATTATAAATGACTACAATTAAATTTATAAAATAAATTAATCAAATAAATAAATTTTTGTTATATAATATAATTTGTATAATTTTCTCTAAATATACACCTTTTATAAATGCATATCTATAATAGTCTTAAGAAAGTACATATATAGAAATATAACTGTAATATTATTAAAGATTTAAAACTACAATGCAATCAAAAAACTATAACAAAGTCTTATACAATTTTAAGATACATTCTTATATTGCTGTAATAAAATTTTTTTTATTAAACAATAATATAAATAGATACAAAATTTAATATAAACAAAACTTAAACAATAACTCTTATATGTAATAACATATTATTTTTCTAATAAAATAAGTGTAAAAATGAGTAAACAATTCTGTTAGGTTCAAGTATGATGTTATATAAATAAACAATATAAACTTAAATATTTGTTGTTAGATTTTAGAAGTAGAAAAATATTAATAATAATATAATTATGCTTTGTTAATAAAATTAAAGATCTTATAGTTTTTTTGATGATTATAAAAATTTAAAATAAAAAATTAATAAAAAATTTGTATCAAGATTTATAAAAACAACTTGTATTATTTATTACTACTATGTATTTATTAGTCAGATTAAATATCATATTTTAGCATAATAATACTTCTATATATAAGATAACAGAATGACTTGAATTAAAAAAAATCAATTATATGAATTGATCATTATGTTTTCCTGACCTTAATCCAATAAAGAATATTTGAAAGATTATAAAATACAATATTCAAAATTGAAAAGATTTTTCAGAGTTTAAAATAACCATAAAAGAAACATGATCAAATTTGGATATGTCAATTCTTCAAACTGTTGTAGAATTAGTACAGTGAAGAATTAAAGCAATAGCAAGTGCATAGGACTGTTAATGCAAATATTAAATAAATATAAAAAAATTTGATGTATATAAGACAGAAATTTAATAAATAAAAATTTATTATTTTAATAAAGGGTTTTATAATTTATTGCATATGCAATATATTGCTCTCTTTTTGTTATTTAAAAATTTTGTCTATAAAATCACTTTTGAAGTTCTAATAAAAAAAATTTTCTGTAAAATTTTGATATATCATACTTTTGCCTTATCCCAAACCTTAACACTAACCCTAATATTAATAAAATTTTATTTTTTGTTTTAATAAAAATATTTGTTATACAAAATTAATAATCTTCATATAGTAAAATCTCTATACATAATTACTAACACTCAAATCTAGGTGAGCCATGACCACTCCGGTTGGTTTAGATCGCAGATAAATTAGTCTGAGCTTCTATTCTTTCTATAATATTTTAAAAGCAGAATTGTACTTTATGTAAAATCTCAATTAAATATTCAATAAAGATAGAAGCATGGCCTCACCATTAATATTTAATAAAAAAATAAATAAAATAGAGATGCACCATGCAATAAATTATAAAACCCTTTAATAAAAATTCGGACGTTACTTTTGCCGCCTACTGTACATGTGATTTTTATATGAACAAGTAGGAATAGAAAAGTCGATGATTACATGAACTTTTTTTATATTATTTTTACAAGTTTTACCGCTTTTACTATTTTCGTCACCGGATTTTGAGGATTTAGAGTTTGGGTGGTGTGTATACTTTACAGGGTACATCTCACAACGGTATATATTGCGGATAAAATAAGGTACTTTAATATCATCATTCACAAAGTAGGTTCATATTTCAGTCTAATTTATTTAATTCATTAGCATTTATGAAATTCGGAGAACTATTTACAAGTATAACATTCTAAAATTTATAATCGAGTAAATTTGGCATTTCATCTTCAACATTTTCTATTAGAGATAGCATAATATTTTATAGTGAGATTTAAAGTTTTTATTTTCGACAAAAAGCGAGAATAATATCTACCTAGCCATGAGAGAAAGTCATTCCTTTGCATTGAAACATGTTCTACAAATATAAATTTGAATAAATATTAATCCAGAATAGGTTAATAAGAAAAATGATTGAACTATGACGAACCATATTCCCTTAAATCTTCTTCATCCTCTAGACCTTGATATTTGAATTTTTTTTTTTTTTATAATTAAAATGGTCAAAATCAAGAGTCACAGGTTTATAACAAAAGAGATAACAAAGAAAAAAAAACACACCATCTCCAGATTCACGCACAAGTAACGCTGGAAAATCATTCCCATAACCGTGGTAGCCATCTCCAGAAAAATTTATATCATCACCGAGATCAGTTGTTCTTATTCGCCGACTTTTATATATGTCATATTTATATAAAGGAAGTTTTAATCTCAATTGTCTATGTTCATCGGCAGTCTTAAATTGCAAACAAATTTCCGAATTGGTATTATTACGAATTTCATTATACCATTCGAACAATTTATCAACCAACTGTCGTGCATGAGGACGATTAAATTCATCATCGTCCCAACATTGTATCATCAAGGTTTCAAAGCATTTTGGTAAATAATTCTTAATAAGTGGTCTGTAACCATCACATAAATCGTATACCAAGTTCATAAAATTGTCACGTGGAATGTCAACGAATGGCGGACGTTCAGAAGCAATTTCAGACATAACAATAGCAAAAGCATAAATATCAGCGGATTTAGTATATGGTTTTCCACGTAATATTTCAGGAGCCATGTATTGAATAACACCAATAGCTTCGTTATAGTCGCATAATTTATCAGCAGGTCCAGAAACACCCAAATCACTTATTAACACAACATCATTATCATATAACAAGTTGCCTGTATGAATATTCTTGTGACACAAGCCAGCTTGATGAATAGAATGAATTCCTTGTGCAATATCAAGCAAGATTTTGATTTTTTTTATCCAAGTAAGTTTATTAGAATTTTCACGAATATAAGATCGTAAGTTGCCCTGTTCAACAAGATGCATTACGATCATATAATCTTTTGTTTTCGGGTCTTGTGTTATTCCATAGATGTGAACTATTTTATCGCTATTACAATAAAATGATGATTCTAACTATATATATTAAAAAAAAAAGAATATTTGAATCAAATTATATGATAAGTTATATAACTATTAATGTATTTTTATTATAATAAAAGTTACCTCATTTAAAAATTGAGGGCACATATTTTGAGAATTATGATGTTGCTTTAGAGCAACTTTCCTTGGACCATTTCTAAGCGGTTTCTCGAGATCATTATCGTTATTCTTTTTCAGGATTTCACCATCTTTCCATAGCGCAGAATAAACAGTGCTAAATCCTCCTTGACCCAAAAATTGAATATTTGTTAGACGATCATAAGGTATCCATTCTAAGTATTGATGCTGAGTTGAATTTAATTGTAAATTTTTGATCAATTGATTAAGGCCTTTATTATAACTGGTTGATATATTGGAATTGCTTGTTTGCTGAGGGTTAATATCTCCTTGAAGAGTTGTGTATACTTTAGTGTGTGATTCAAGATCTTGTTTCAAATTTAAATTTGGAATAGTTTTCTTCCCAATTTTTATATGATCATGTACCATTTTTACTAAGAGATCTTTTCTGGTTTGTCCGTATCCGAGAGAAATTTTTCCGAAAATTGGATAACGAGCATGGTATTTAAATAAATAATTTTTTTATGTATACAAACGTAACAAGTGCAGATACCAGTATAACTTGTTTTTCAATAAATAATTCGAACGTTAAGTTACCATCAATTTAATCTTAAAATAGAAAAAAACAGATTCTCTGCATACGATAATGTTTATAAATATTATGGGTCCCAAGTGTGAAATGCAGCCGAAAATTGAATGAACATTGTTGTGCATATAATGCATCTGTCTTTGGTGTAATTTATGGACACCGAGTAAAATTTAACTTATTTGTATAATCATCAGACTGTCTTGATATATAATAGTGAAGTTCAATCAAAAAAAGTCGATTCATATAAAGAGAATGGCGTGAAGGACCTACATTCTATAATTGCAAATTCTGATTAGGTAGCCTTGATTAAGCTTTTTTTTTTAGCACTGGATTTATAACAATTCCTGTTTTCCACGTAGTTTATCTTTTTCGTTGGCTAAAGTGTATTGACGATTTCAGTGGCAGTTAATTATATATATGCAATAACATATGCATGTAGCCAATTTGAAGTACTTTATAAACTAAATTTGTTTATGTGGTTGTCGAAAAAGTCGGTATACCACCGTAAATATATATGTACCGATTTACTTATCGTTATATCGGTATTAACAATGAAAACGATAACGATAAGTGCACATATAATAAATCTGATCACATACGGTGAATCTCTTGCAATATCGATATAGTTATTGGCGACACCTTTTGATAAGTTATTTATTATCGTTATTAAATATATTGATTATAAAATGGAAGCCACCTTATACGTATAAAAATTTAGGTACTGACTTTTAGGTATACAGAAACAAAGCCGTAAAACGTAATTTAAGCCGTAAAAACCGAAACCCAAAATAGTGATACAAATTGCCAAAAAATTTTCAATCGATTAGTTGACAAATTCAAAAATTTTCAATCGATTAGTTGTCAACTAAACGATTTATCGATTTTGATCGATTATTTTATTATAAGTTGACAAAATTTTTCAATCGATAAATTGTTTTTTTCGATTAGTTGACAATTAATCGATTTTTCGATTTGTATCACTAACCCAAAATACATTCCGTAACCTAAGTTGATAGCCACAATTTTATAATTTCATAGGCAATTTCATACAATCTACTCAGGGATTTTACCTAATATAGAGATTGATGGGTATAGTAAATTAGTACGGTACGGAAACGAAATTGGGACGGACATGTGGAAATCATGATAGTTCGTACATACGGTTTGTAAAAGAAAAAATTCTTCGAAACAAAACTAATTTTCCCATGACCTCACGAAAATCGCTTCTAATTAAAAAGGATTTACTTGTAAAGGATTAGGTCTCTTCTTAAGGATGTGACGAAACATCGGTGTGGCGAATAAGCATTATAATATTTATTAGCCACACCCAATGCTTCGTCACATCCTTGTGCCAAATGGATAATGGATTAACTTTACAAACCTATGTTAACCGTACGTACTGTACGTTCGTATTTGTGCAATCGTGCAGTAGATACCTGTTTGTCGGATAAATTACAATACCTTTTAAAATTAGCCAATCATATGGTCTACGTATCAAATATACAAATATACAGTACGTATAGGTTTGATTTATTAGTTGACCCCACCAGCAACGGTATCATTTTAAACATGTCCGATTCAGATCGCTAGCTTCATAATATCCAGGTTAAAGCCTAATCTTAACTCTTGTCTAAATTGTCGTTATGGCTTAAAACACTAATTCGGATTTAACATCTTTAAAACGTTAACTCTAATCCAAATTTGAATTATCATCCAGATACGTACGTTGAATATTCGAATTTAGTCCAGATGGCTCTGAAAATTGGGTCGAAACTTTAAAAAATAAACCATAATTTACGTATTTGATTCACGTGTCTAAAGTTATTGCTTACAGAGATTAATAAGAAATACGAGACAAGAAAAAAAAAGAGAGAACTTGCCTTTGACAGGTTCTGGCGGAAGACATGAAAGACATTGTAATGTCCTGAAAATTTGCAAAAGCATCCAAATATGCCAGCTAAAGATGCGTTACAAAATAACAACCCACAGCCTTATGTTTGTTAAACATCTACTCATAAGACGCTGTAACAGAGAATCTAATCTTAATTAATATTGGTTGCTGAAGTTTCCATAATCCCACACTAATAAATTATGCCTAAAAGATAAGTTGATTGTACCTTTCGGCGATAATTACATCACAAAGTAATTGGAAAAAGTAATAATATGCAACGAAGCAAATAACCTATCAATAATGAATGTTGCTGGTATATACGAATGATTTACTTGTTTCCTAATAACAATGATTAAGCTAAAGTGTAGTTAATCACATTCAAAAAAAAAAACCACTAATAGACAAATCTTAATCTAAAAAAATACTAACAGCTGATAGTCAACTTAAACCAAATTATGTTACGAATTGCCCACTAGACATCTTGATTGACAATTCTCAAAAGATCAATTAAGTAGGTATTTAAATGTTATACAAAAAATCACGAGATCTTACTCTTTTTTTCGAAATCCAGTCTCAACCTTCAACAACATTCCGTGAACATAACAATTTTGATAGTAAACACGTTAAAAAAATGATTCGTTGTGACATAAGAAATTTTAAGGATCTCAAGACAGATTCAATTCAATTATTAGTCACATAAACGAAACTAATCACATAAAAAAAGGCCACATGTTATAAAAATGTATATAATAATTAAATTATCAACATTTCAATACAATCGCGTTAAGTCGGCCACACGCGATTTAAGGTAGTACTTAAAAACAATCACGCGACTCTCTTTTAAAAAACAAATTGCAATCGAAATCGAATTAAAGTGTAAGAAATTTAAGAATACGTATTACTTTTTAATGTTCTTTCTCATTACAAAGTTTTACATAATTTTATACGTATGTGCGTATTGGAGTAAACTTAACATGCAAAAGTAAACGCAGAAATATTATAATATCTTGAAGGTCCGTACTCATTCCTGCTTTTGGTTCTTGGGATTTTCGGTTCTAATAATATTTAAAAAACGCGTTATAACCAATCAAAACAAAAAAAGTCTTAGTTTCCTTTTTTGCAAAAAACTTACGAGCTTTTCCAGGCCTGAGCGACAAGTTTAAAAGCTTCTTTGTGATCGAGGTCAGGCTTCTCGGCTTTGATTTTAGGAAGTTCGGTTTTCATAAACCTATTATACGCGCTTAGAGGCTTTTTTTCTATTTATTTTTTTTAAAAAAGTTAAAGTATGAACTTTCGTTTCTTTTAACGAAACACGCTATATAAATATACCTTTCACTTCTGCCTTTGGCTTGCTTCTTGTTTCAGTCCTTGTCGTTGTAGTCTTTCCCATTTTTTTTGTTGTTTATGTAGATATTAAAAGTTTTATAATATGAGTATTTAGTTTTATTTAGATATGAAGAAAAGTTTTAATTAAGATGAACTAGTAGAAGCGTATCGCGTCGCTTTTTTATTCTTATTTTAATAATATACCACGTGATATTTAGATGTTATTGATATTGTTTATAAATCAAAGAAATCATAAGACCTGATCTCTGTTGTACAGACATTCATTAATTCTTTGTTATCTTGTTTATCTTATATCTATATATATAAAACTTGTTGAAACTAGTTTCTGGGCACGTCGCGTTGGCCGATGACTTTTATGATCTATTATAAGTCATTTGGTCATAACGAAGGTTGATGACTTTATGGCCTTTTAATTGGTTCTACAAATCGTGAGAGTCGAAAAAAATCGATTAGTTATCGATTAATCGATTAAAGGATTAGTTACTAATCGATTGAAAAAAATTTAACTATTTTTAACATAGTAAGATCATAGTAAAAAAATTTTTTTTATTGTAATATGACCTATGACCAAAAAAGCCAACACTGAACGTCTATGTATTATTCAAAATAAATTCTCTTTATATATAATTGGTTTATAGCGACAATGATGAATAATTTTGTAATTATCGTTATATCAATATATAATTCGGAGATACAACCCAATCACGTATTTGAAATTGACCAATCATGTTACAAAAGCGGTCTGTTTTGATATCAATATAATGCATAATCGTAAATGTGTGCAAGAAGAATAATTCTTAAAATTCGTTAATTTAGGGTTAGGGTCAAAGTTAGGATCTAGAGGGAAATAGTTTATATAGTAAAATTGTTTAATGAAAACTTTTTGTTAGAGCGCAAAAGATGGTTTCTCCTAATCGTGTTACGTTACACCTAATCACCCATCTGATTTGTAGTTTAGGAAATCTGCACCAACCTTGTTGGGATGTGCTGTTAGCTATTTAAAATAAAAATCATATATAGTATTTAGTATTAATAAATAGAACAATAAAAATAAAACGAATGTTTAATTTTTGTTTATATAAAAAAAATTTTTTTATTAAATAATAAATTTTTTTTAAATAGGATTTTGCTTATATTTTTATTAAAAATTTTAAATGTAATAGTATATAATATAAATTATAATTATGTATTATAATAAAAATTAGACAATATTATCTAAAATTTTTTTTTTTTTTAACTTAAGTAATCACGCTAGTACTTTATTAGAATTCTTGATACTATACAGATTACAAAGAATTTTTCTAATACTTAAGTTCAACATTACTTGATCACCTTATTAGTACCTAAGTGTAACCTGTTGCATTACTCCAAATAAAGATAGACTGCTCATCTGACTGCCACCCTATAATAGGATACCACCAATCTAATAATGTTTTCTTGTAGAGAAGCAAAAAAACAAAAAAAAAGATTTTATATATAAAAAAAAATCAGAGGTATAGGAATAAATAATAAAAGATACAAAACAAAAAATAAAAGAGAGAAAAGAAAAAATAAGAAAAAAGAAAAGTATGAAACTTACAATTTACAAAAAATCAGATGGTTATGATTTTAAGCCTATGTCAAGTATAAAACTTGCAATTCACAGATATCAATAACTACAATTATAAGTCTATATCAGGCTTGTAAAAATTATAAACTATACTAAATAGAAATTATTTTACTATCTTCTTATTTACTTAAATTATTTAAACAAAAAACCAAAAAGAAAAAAAAAACTTCAACTTTATTATAGAGGGTTAGTATAAGATACTAGTTTCAACTTTAAGCAACCTAATTTATATTATTAATTAATTAATATATATAATCTTATTATTATATAATTAAAAAAGTTTAAACAATTTAAAGTTAAAGCTTCAGTTAATATTACCTTTGATATTAATTAACTAACTTTGAGCAATTTAACTAAAAACTCTAGATGAAACTTTATCTAAAAATAAGTTAATTATAATAAATTTGCTACTCTAAAAAGCAATTATTATTTTATTTATTTATTTTATTTTTGTTATCTTCTTTTTTAGAAGTTTAAAAGAAGGTTATTAACTAAGATTTAATTGCAAATAGTCTTATAGATATATATTAATTTAGAATTATTATTTTTTTTAAAAAAATAATATTTTAAACATTATGTAAAACTTCATATAATATCTTATTAAAAAATATCCTTTTTAAATAGTATTAGATTATACAAACTTAATAAATTAATTTTTATAATCTGGTCAAGTCAAATTTAGTAAAATTTTTAAAAAATTTTTTGACTATATTTACTATCTAGGTGAAGTTTTTTAGAAGTTTATAAAATTTTTATATACTTTTTTATATAAAAATTTTTAAAATAAAATTAAAAGCCAAATTGTTAAATGATTTTTTAATTTTATATTGTTATAGAACGATTATTTTATTTTATTTTATTATTAGTTATTTTTAGATATTAATTATTATTATTATTAGTATATTATTTTATATTGTTATACTTGATGTAATACTTAGTTATTGTGCCAATTACTGTGCATTACTGTGCCAGTTACTGTGCCAATTACTGTGCATTACTGTGCCAGTTACTGTGCTAATTACTGTGCATTACTGTGCCAGTTACTGTGCCAATTACTGTG